CACCACCCACCCACTGCCCTCCCCCCCACCCCACCACCACCACCACCTTTGGAACTCCTTCCCACAGTCCCTTCACCTCGCCTCCTTCGAAGCCCGTCACAAGACTCTCCTCTTTGACCGGTACCTTCGGTCACCCTCCAACCCCCACCCCTCCTCCCTGCCCTCCACCTCTCCCTATCCCAACCCCCAGGTCGTGTCCAAATTCCTGACTGTCCAGCGCCTTGGGATGGCCTCTCAACACGAAAGGCACTGTGTAAATGCAATTTGTTGTTGCTGTTGTTGTCTGGGGGGATTGTTGTCCAGGACACCGGGAAAAAGACCTCCTTTCGTTTACAAACAGCACAGCGGGATCTTTAAAGTCCACCCGAACAGGCGCAAGCCGGGAACCTCAGTTTGATGTCCAATCTGAAGGAGAGCACATTATTCAACGCAACACTTCCCCCCCCACCCCAACCCCCCCAGCCCTGGACTGAAGCGTCAGCCTCGACTGTCCTTAACGTCGAAATGTATTGCAGCACAAAGGGCTCGAGACAATTTGCTGTTGTGGTGGTTGTATTCCCACTGGGTCCACAAAAACCAAGAGCAACCTAAACAACAGCCACGACAACTTGCACTTACACAGCGCCCCTCACGCAGAATAGCGCCCCAGAGCGCTTGACAGTGGTGGAGAGGGGGGGGGGATTCGCTGTTCGTCAGCTACGAACACTTCGAAATACTGTGAAGGAACCTCTTCCCCTGACTACGATCGCCACAATCCTCGATCTCTTGATGTGAATTTCCTTCGATGCAGCTCTTTTCTCCCCACTTCCTGTTGTCACCCATTAAATAACTACAAAGGTCTTATCATCATCTGAACTTTTATATCCTTTCGCTAAATTTGGCTGTGGCTATAACATGACCCATCTGCCGTGAGAGAGAGAAAGAGAGAGAGAGAGAGAGAATAACTTTTTGCTCATCCCAGACGATCTAGCACAAAGACACAAAAACAAAAAACTTGCTCGCTCTCTCTCGCGCTCTCTCTCTCTCTCGTTTGACTCCCAGTGTAATAAGCAACAGACGAGGGATTGGGAAGGGGGGAGAGGGGGAAGACGTCTGTAGGTGTGGGGCGAACGCGAGGGACGCAGAATTCTCATCGCCTTGAGGAGACTCCAAGCTCTTCACAGAACACTGTGTGTTTCGTGGGCGAAACGCGGCAGCCAATTGCGCACAGCGGCTTAAGCGCTCCGAGACGCCAAACCCTGCACGAAGGGCGCGACATAAATGCAAGTTGTTGGTGTCGGCGTGGTCGAAATGTTCGCGTTCGGCAGAATTTGGGAAAGGATTGAAAATCAGCCTCGATTTGGCCGGTGCTTTGCCTTTCCAAGAACTTTCTTAAGAAAAAGCTTCCAATCCAAGGCCGAGAGTACGTGTTTTTTTCCCCTAATTCTGCGCAATCTGAAAGAAAAACAACACGTAAAGGCGACGTTCTCAAGGCTGGGACCGTCAGAAATTCCAAACCTCCCCCCCCCACCCCCGTCCGTCCTTAAAACATCGGATTCAGGACTCAAATTTATACGCTGAAAGTTAGGCATAAAACTCAACTGACTTTTCCGTGTTTGTATGAGTTTGTGTGTGTATGTTTGTGTGTGTGTTTGTATGTGTGTATGTTTGTGTGTGTATGTTTGTGTGTATGTTTGTGTGTTTATGTATGTGTGTATGTTTGTTTGTGTGTTTGTGTGTACGTTTGTGTGTGTGTTTTTGTGTGTATGTTTGTGTGTGTATATTTGTGTATGTGTGTATGTTTGTGTGTGTATGTTTGTGTTTGTGTGTATGTTTGTGTGTGTGCGTGTATGTTTGTATGTGTGCATGTTTGTTTGTGTGTGTCTTTGTGTGTGTGTGTGTTTGTTTGTGTGAGTGTGTGTGAGTGTGTGCGCGCAAAGGATCTAATTTGCCTTACTTAAATTATAGACCTTGAGTTCCTATTGAGCGGGTGTTGCTTGTGAATGCTCTACATTGTGGACCTCATTGGGATAACACTAATCAGTATTCCAGTACTGCAATATACAGAGCTTATTATAGTCTGTACTCATTATAGAGCCCATTCATGTTTGTGCTGGTGGCCGCTTTGCATTGGAGTTGAAGTCCTTTTGGAGTGTGCACTGATTGATAATTTACAGTGGAGTCGTTTTAGGCTATTGATTTCGTGTTCCTGTCCAGTGTTTCACGTTGCATTTTGCTAGCTGTTGGGAGTGCTTTGCGTTGGCCGTCGAGCGAGTTGTGTTTGAGGGATTAGGTACAGAAAGAGGAGAGAGAGAGAGAGAGAGAGAAAGAGAGAGAGAGAGAGGGTTAGATATCAAAATGGTTTGAGCGGGCTGATAGGATACAAAAGGGAGCGAGCAGAGAGAGGGGATACAAAGCAATTGAATGGATACGCAAGGAGTTTAAAAAAGGGATTAGATTTGAAATAAAAGAAAGATGATACAAAGAGTTGAACAGAAGGATCGGATATAATGGGAGTTAAACAGCACTGTGACACTCTGCGCCCTGTCATTTAGGATATTAGGAAGACTATAGGCAGACAATTATACAACACCAACTTGCATTTATACAGCGCCCTTCACGTGGGGCAGTGTCCAAGAGGGCTCGACAGTGGCAGAGTCTGACACCGAGATAAATAGTGGAAGAGGAAACATGAGCATCCAACAGACACAGACAAAGATAAAAAAAATCTAACCGCAAGGAAAGAAATTGCGATGGGGAAGATGATTCGTTAAGAAATCAGGAAGTTCATATTACTACGAAAATTCCATCTGATAGTGAGGAACTGTTATAATATCAAGAAGCAGAGTGTTTGGCTCCACCACTGTTAAGCGCTCTGGGACACTAACCCTGCGCGAGGGGGGGGGCGCTATACAAGTGCAAGTTGTTGTCGTTGCGCTCGTCTTTCAAAACAAAGGCGAGGAACAAGATGCGAGAGTCGACTCGCAAAGGGAAGAATTTCTTCTTAAAAGTTCCGCGCGGAGGGAGGAAGCGGTTTGAAGGCACTCACTCGCCCCACAAAACACACGGTTCAATGCACTTCGCAGCATAGTCCGTGAAGCGCTTTGAGACGTCTCGAAGACGTGTTAAAGGCGCCATATCAAATGCAAGGATTATTATTATTATTATTATTATCTCACGAGAGAGAAGGTTAAAGACCGAAGGTGGGCGGGGGGGTGGGAGTTTTTTTTTACACACACACACACGCGCGCGCGCGCGTGGCGGGGTTTCACGTACTCAGACCAAATAAATTGCAAAACTGTGCCTTTAGATAGTAATCAGGAAAGAAAAGCGACGCGACCAACAGCTGAAGGGAAAATGACATTCATTTTGTGTGGCGACCGCAAGAGTATTAAAGGGGAGGGTTGGACCCACACAAATAAAACATGTCTCTGTACTGAGTGGGTGCACTTGTGCTGCACTGTGTGGAAGTCCTCACACCACAGGAGGCCGTCGTTCGGGGCCCGGAGTGCAGACGTGACGGGTCGAATGGCCTCCTTTTCGTCCGTCGAAACGTACTCTGAAGTGGGAGGACTGCGCAGCTGCAGCGTCTCCGCCCGCGTAACAGTCGCGGGTCGAGCGAACAAAATTTCCCAAACCTTTTTTTTTGGGGGGGCGGGAGAACTCGTGGTCACCCCGACTGTTGGCGGGACACTGCCGCTGCCGCCGCCACCGCCGCCGCCGGGTTTCGCCCACACAATGTACAGTCAACTCACTTTACAACACACCCCGTGAAGCGCCGCGAGACGCCGTTCGGGCGCTCTGGCGAGCGCGAGGATCGGTATTGTACGATCGCGTTACTATCACAATCCCGGGGTCTCTCAGGGAATCGGTCCAACGCCGCCCTGGACAGAAATCCTGCGAGAAGGCAGAGGCGCTGCGTGTCACAGGCGAGGATTCTGTCCTCTCGTTTTACCGTCAATGCGTAGGACACAGAGACCCGGTGAGAGACGGTGCTCTTTCAGCAGCGAATGCGAAGCACCGGCATAACGTCCCGTCTCTCCCGATCAGGGGGCCGGCGCCCTGCCTGTCGGCGTAATCGTTTAATTTGTAATATAACGAGAGCACTGAGCGGAATTCACTTATTCTGATCGAGGACTGATTAAGAATTAATGCCTCGTCGTCTGCTCTTCGTCGTTGGGTTTCGCTCGCTTTCAGGGGAGGATTCCCCGAGTAGACGGTCAGCGGGGAGATCGCCGACACAACGGCCGAATGAGCCGCGCGATCCTGAGCCATCTCACGGGCTTCCGAAGTCAATGACGTGAGCGTTGGAACGGTAGTAATGATCAGCCTCGCTTTGGGTGATAATGATGATCATTAATAATAATTAATAATAATAATCCCTGCATTTGATATAAGCGCCTTATCTCGTCTCCGAGACGCCTCAAAGCGCTTCGGGGAATGTACTGCGAAGTGAATCGACCGCATATTTTGGTGGTGGGGAGGGGGTGGGGGTCGCTCAAACCCACGGATTTATTTTTTTTCCGCTGCCCCCCCCCCGCGCGAAAAGCCCCCTTTCCCCACCCCCACACAACCCCCCACCCCCGCAGCCCCCCACCCACCCCCCACACACACAGTCACACACACAGGCAGAATCATTAGGGGTGGAGAGGGAGGGAGGAGGAGTGGGGTGGGAGGGGGTGGGGGGTGGGAGGAGTGTGAGTGCAGAGGGCTAGCCTAGCCCTGCGCCTTTAAGAGGCCAATTTACGGTCGGCTGAACGTACCTCTGGCTGCCGGGGGGGGGGGGGGGGGGGGGTTGGCCCCTTTAAGTGAAGGCGAACTGGTTACAATGGATCGGGAGCTCCTGAGGAGGGACACAGTAGCGACTCGAACCTTCGGGGACTTCATCAGCGGCTTTAAAGGGACCCAGAGAGCGTCTGAGCCCGACTAGGGGGGGGGGGCACACCCCCATCACCACCCCCACCCTCTCCCCTCCCCACTCACTCACTCACTCACTCCAGAGAGAGAGAGAGAGAGAGACACAGACAACACAACACAACACAACATCCACAGACCAGAAGGAGACAAAAGGGCAACAAGAGGAGAGGAGGAGGAGGTGGAGGAGGAGATCGCTGTGCACTGTGAGTAGAGGGGCTCTGGGGTGGGTTGGGTGGGTGGGGGGGGAGAGAGGGTGGGGAGTGGGGATGGGGAAGGTGGTGGGAGGGGGTGATGTTGAGGGTTAACCCCCTCTTCAGAGGGGTAGAGAGAGAGAGAGAGAGTGAGAGTGAGTGTTTCTCTTTGGGATCCAGGCAGAGGCTACTCTCTGGTGGCTACTGATACCATGTCCTCCCCCCCCCCCCTCCCCATCCCAACACCCCCCCCCCCAACACCCCCCCCCCAACACCCCCCCCCCCCACACACACACACAGAGCTTCCCTCTGAATCACACTCCTGTCCCATTTCATTTTCACTTTTGTCCCATTTCATCATTGTAGTGACTTATTTTTCCTCCTCCTCCAAAAAAAAACCCCTTCTATAAACTTCCAACTTTTTTCATTCTCTCTCTCTTTCTCTCTCTCTCTCCTTGTCCTTTCCATCATTAGATGGACCCCCCCCCCTCCCTTCCCTCTTTCCCTTCTTTCCCCCCCTGTCACCACTCCACCTCCCAAAAGAATTGGTAAAGTTTTCTTCTATATCTTTTATATGTTCTGTTTATTTTCCATCTTTTACTCTCTCTCTCTGTCTGTTTCTCTCTCTCTTCACTTTTGCCCTTTTCATCACTGCATTGACTTTTTTTCCCCCTCTCCACCACCTCCAAAAAATAAACTTCTATTATTTTTCTTACAACCTAAACTTTTATTTCTCTCTCTCTCTCTCTCACTCTCTCTCTCTCTCTCTCTCTGTACAGAGCAGCAATTTCATCTACTCATTTTATTTCTCCTTCTACCTCTCTCTCTCTCTCTTATTTCTCTTTCTTTCGCCCCTTTTCGAGATTATTCCTAAACGATTGCAAATTTTCTGAAGGTCTTTTTTTGTCCTAATCGTTGGCGAAACGTAAAATGTATTTACAATCTATAGATTTTTTTACACACACACGTTGGCTCATGTTTCCATGGAGAGAGAGAGAGAGAGACCAGTTTTTTAAAAAAAAATAAATTCAAATTATTTTATTATTTTTTAATTATTTTAATAAAATAATTAAGATAAAATCGAATGAAATCCCCCCCCCCCACACCCCCACCACCTGCTTTTTCCCTTCCTCCCCCTCCTGTTTTGAAATAATTCTCAATTCCATAGCAACTTTTTGGGGGGGGGTTTAAAAAAAACTTAAAAAAAGACAACATCTCGTTAACGCAGAAATGATTATATAAAAAAATAACGAGTGTGAGATGGAGATATCCAGAAGTTGGTCAGGACTGAGGTGTTTCAGACCGCGCGAAAGTTTTCTAAAAATTGTTTTTGTTTATTTGTTTTTTTTTTAAAAAAAACCTATTTATTTGCTTTTAAAAGAGGGGAAACAAGTGACACGGTTGGTATTCTCAAAGTGACAGAAGCAGTTACTCCTTAGTGGGGGGGGGGGGGGAGTCGGTCATTTTATAACTTACTTTTAATTTAAAATTTTTGTTCCCCTCTCTCCCTCTCCTTTCTGTCCTCTGTATAAATGCAACGATTGTTAATTGTGTGGAGATTCCTGTTGCCACTGAAAGGCAGAGTGTGGGACCTTTCAGGATGTTTCCAGGCTACAAGCTGGGAATTATAACATTCTTTTTATTGGTCTCGGTCCAGTATTTCACTGGGGGGAGAGAGAGAGAGAGAGCGAGAGAGCGAGAGAGCGCGGTTGGGGGAGGGAGACATAAAATGTCTTGTTGTTGTTAATAATAATAATAATAATCCTTGCGTTTGATACAGCGCCTTATCACGTCTTTGAGATGTCTCAAAGCGCTTCGCAGGAGAGACTGTAATGTAAACTGACTGTGTATCTTGTGATGCCAACAAAGTAGTCAGGTTATAGCTACAGAATGATCTTTGCTCAAGGCTTATTATCCGTTTCATCTTATTTTTTTATTGCTCCTTCCCCCCCCAACCCCCCCCTCCCCTCCTCCAATGTGACATCTCCCTCAATTTGCCCCCAAACACAATTCAGATGTTTTGCTCCCTTCACTGTTTGACTCGGGGATGAAATGCTTTTAACTTTTTAAACCGGTCAACTTTGTGTTTGACAAGCTTTGAACTAAACTTTTTATATATATACTCACCTGTGTTTTTGGTGGGGTTTGATTAAAAAAATTCAAGTTTGTCCACTTTTATTTTGCTATCCATCTATAACACCTACTCCCACGCACACATATATATATATATACTCCCCCTACCCACCCCCAACCCCCCGCAAACTCTCCTCTCTAAAACTGACGTACAAGTTAATGAGTCTGTAACTTCGCCTGTTGCAATGTTTTACAAGTTTAAAAAGCACGATTCTTAATTAAAAAAAACTCTTGTATTGCAGACAAACAGAATGCAAAGGTAGGGAGGTGTGTGTGTGTGTGTGTGTTGGAGGGGGTTGGGGAGGGGGTAAGAGTTAATTGACTTATTCCCTCCGTTTTTCTTTTATTATGGGCCCCCTCCACACACACACACACACACACACACACTCCCTCCCTCTCTCTCGATTTGATTCAATTAGATCCCATCAGATCACATCGATCCTAACCTTTCCCCCACAGTCCACAGTGATCTGTCAAATTTGCATCACCGTCTTATTTTTTTTGCCCCCCACCCCCCTCCCCCTAAAGAAACGCACAAACAAAAAAAAAATACAGTCCATCAAAAATTTGCTAACAGGATGTGCATCAGATAACGTGAAATCTCTGTGTCACCGTATAAGTAAAAAGTTGCAAATGTCCGCATTGTTTTTGAAACAAATATATCTGCACACATATTAAATATAAACGTGCGAGTATATGTTACACTCGTCTGATGCAAATATCATCACTGTCAGACGTGCTCGGTTTGCTAGTTTAACGTTTTTCCGAGTGATTGAGGAAAACAAACAAAAAAAACAGCTATTTTGTCTTATGCCGAATCCTTCGGACTCGATACATTCACAGGTCTGGTGTCTCTCTCCCTTTTTGCGTTATTGCAGGACAGTTGTGCCATTGCATGACATAAAACAAAGTCCAGGTTATATCTGCAGCCTTCAAATCTGGTCCCCTATCAGACTGGAAGCAATTGTCTTGATATCTTGAGCCCCGACTGACTGGGAGAGATTCAGGGAGAGTTGGTCAGTCAGTCACACACCAGAGGATGAAGTCCTTTTGTCCTCCTATTCACAGTCTCACTTCCTCGTAAATTCCACTGGTTCCTGGCAACGCAATGTTGATTTTTTTTTTGCAATCTGTTTTTCTTAAAAAAATATATATCTATATATACAGTATGTGCAATAATTCTTACACGTCTTGCTTAAGAAGTAAGAAATGTTAGCCGAAAAAAGATCAAGGTCCATCTAGTTTGCCTTCCACCTTCCTGGCAGTCGCATTCACATTTGTCCCGAACTACCTTTGTACTATACCCCGTAATGTTATTTCCTAAAAGAAAAGTATTTTACAATTTCTACAAATCGCTGGTTCTGTGTCAAATCTAATTGGGGTAAGAGTGCACACACACCTTTTACCACGAGACAGACAGACAGAGAGAGAGAGAGAGAGAGACACATGGAGGCCCAATGAGGTGTATTCTCCAGGAAGAAGATTAATAAATAAAATATAGGGGTTCCGATATAGGATTTCCAAAAGGGAACAACAGCATTTAATAGAAGGAAGTTGGAATAAGTATTGGAGGAAAAATCAGATTAGAGGTTAATAATAATAAAAAAAATATTTGATATAGCGACTTATCACATCTTTGAGACGTCTCAAAGCGCTTTGCAGAATATACTATCAGTTGAATTGACTGTATATTTTATGGGGCGAAACACAGCAACCAATTGCACACAGCAGTGTCCCACAAACCGTCCCACAAAGAGCGGAGGAGTAGGGGGTTAAGAGTGTGCTGAGTGCACGGAAGGCTATTCCACGAGGCCTTAGTAAGATGTGAGGCGGAGGGGGCTATACAAATGTAATTTGTTGTTGTTTGATCCGCAAAACAAAACACACCACCAGGTAACAACCTGACGAGAATAAATTGCTAAAGACGGTTGCGAATGTGCGAGAAACTCAGGCTTTCTGAGATGCTCAGCATTTGGAGTGTCTTGTGTTCTGCTCCGGTCTGTTCTGACGGGAAATGATGAACACTCGGTCTGATTTATAAAATATATATATATAATATATATAAATAGAAAGAAAGTTTAGATTGTTTATTGCCTTTGTTCTGTGCGTATCGGTGCTGGGGTTGCTCGGCTGAGCTGAGCTGCCTTGCAAACCGAGGCGTCCTCGAACCTCAAGATGTTGAGAGAAAGTTTACAGCATTCGAAAGAGAAGGCCTTTCTGGCTTTCCGAGCGAGCGCAGGCACACACACAATGGGTCAAATAGCCTTGTGTGTTCAACACACTCACCACCCCCCCCCCCCCCCCCACCACCACCACTCCTCCGCTCTTTCACTCTGTTCCTACTTTTCTTCCGATTCTTATTATTACCGACTTGGGCATTGGCTTCGGTTTGTGTAGTGATTCAATGCCGGTGTCACAGAAGCGCTGGAAGTATGTCTGATATTTTTTGTTGTGACATTTGCGACGTTTTCCGCTATTTGAAGCAAAACTGGTTGCGTTTTGGAGCCTCGGGAGTGTCGAACATTTGGTCGCTCAATCCACGACTGTTTGCTGCCGTGCGCAATTGGCTACCGGGTTTCGCCTACAAAATACACAGTCACTCCACTTTACAATATGTTGCGTGAAGCGCATTGAGACGTCTCGACGACGTGATGAGGCCCTGATTCAAATGCGAGGATTATTTTTATTATTATAGTATTATTATTATTATTATCCCATCTTTTTAAAATGCTGTTAATACCCTTTTTTAAATCCTATAGTAGGGTTGCGGAGCGGGGAGTTGATGGCGATGGTGGGGAAAGTGGAAAGAGAAAGAGAAAAATGACATCAGGATAATTTGCTTTGATATTGTCAGTCAGTCCGGTCTGGGTAGCGACGAC